CATATAAAACCTTAAATATTAATGAATGTATTATGACATAAGCATTTGTAGACTAGACTTTATCAGATGCAGGAAGTGTTGTCCATGAAATCCCATACCTAATAAATGTTAGTTGTTAAGGTGCTTTAAGTGGTTTGTGCTACAAGAAACAACATGGCTAGAGGAAGTTAGCTGATCTAAGAAGCTGCAAGGGAGAAAGACCACATCCGAGGATCTCCCTCATTAACATCCTTTCAGCACCAAACATAAACTTCTCTCTTCACCCAAGGATTTAAAAGGTTATGGTAAATGTCCTTTTTATTGCTGTTTTCTGCTGCTAAAGGTTTGCTGTTTTGCTGGATCTGTTCATGGGTCACTAAAATTATTACTGCAATGTGTTTCATTTGCTTTTATGTTATGCCTTATTAATATTTTTTTGTAAGCAGTTTAGAAACTTATATATATCTATTGAGTGATTAATAACTCATATACATACATACATACATACATACCCCTAAATTTCTCCATGGTTTCTTCATTGTGGAGGATTCCTCTTGGACAGTTTGCTGCATATATGGCAGCAGCCTCAAACTGACTACGGGAAAACAGTTCATTGAACCTGGCAAGGTTAAAAGAACATAAAGGTTCAAAGGCACAGGCAGTGGATGCCAAAAACAATTCCATGCTTGGCAGTGGATGTACACTAGCCAGACACAACCCCAGAAGCTGTGTAACATGGTATGACAGTCAAACTAGAAATCCATAGCAAGATGCTCTTCTTTCATGCTCTTGCGCACAGCAGACAGCTGTGGTGAGGAGCAAACCATCTCTTTCCAGCCTGCTGACCCCATTTTTATCGTTTTATTTGTTCAATTTGTATAACCACCCACAGGGCAATTCACAACATAAAAATACAAAATGAGAACATAAAATATATAATAAAACCAACACAACAAACAGAAAACCTCCCCGCAAACCCATTTAAAAAGGACATAAAATGTTAATCAGCCCCTGGTTAAAGAGAAAAGTCTTCGCCAGGCACCTAAAGATATGTAATGAAGGCGCCAGGCAAGAAGCCCTGGGAGAGCCTTCCACAAATAGGGAGCCACTGCAGAAAAGGCCCGTTCTCGTGTTGCCACCCCTCCAGGCCTCTCATAGAGGAGGCACACGAAGAAGGGCCTCTGAATAACCCCACTCTGAGGTTTTGTGTAGATGTTTAATCAATGGGAGGGGGCTGTGGAGAAGTAAGAGGGAAGTGAAACAGTGAAACGATGTTTTCTCATCTGAACCAGAAAGAGAAAAACCATCTCTCTGGTTCTATTAGTCTTTTTGGGTTATGGCTCTCTTCATAATCCCATTTCTCCAGCAAACTCTTGCCCAAAGACACCATTGCTTCTCTCCTTCCCTGCACCTCCATTTTCCTCATAAGCTTACATCAATTCCTGACCTTATTCTCTACCAGTGTCTTGCCTATCCAAGATCTCTGGGGCAGCCCATGCTAATGACTAACTTTGGCCCCTCAAATATTCTGTGCATTAAGGAGCAGAAGAAGCAGTTCTGTTTGGCACAGCCACTGGCAAGGGAAGCTCTTTGCTCCTGCTACATCTCCCCAGTTCTGTTTTCCCTGCAGTTTTGCTGGCTGTGTATGCCATGAACCCATATGTGTGGGATGCATTATTACTAGAGCAGTCAAGTACAATGTTTTTCTGTTGCCTAGAATGGACACACAGGGGAATGTGGCACCAAACAAGGAGGACTTCCTGTCATACCTGTGTGGAGCTTCCTCCCCGTGTGTGACCAGGTAAAAGGGAAAGGTAAAGGTACCCCCTGCCCGTACGGGCCAGTCTTGACAGACTCTGGGGTTGTGCGGCCCATCTCACTCAAGAGGCGAGGGGCCAGCGCTGTCCGGAGACACTTCCGGGTCACGTGGCCAGCGTGACATCGCTGCTCTGGCGAGCCAGAGCCACACACGGAAACGCCGTTTACCCTCCCGCTAGAAAGCGGTCCCTATTTATCTACTTGCACCCGGGGGTGCTTTCGAACTGCTAGGTTGGCAGGCGCTGGGACCGAGCAACGGGAGCGCACCCGCCGCGGGGATTCGAACCGCCAACCTTTCGATCGGCAAGCCCTAGGCGCTGAGGCTTTTACCCACAGCGCCACCCGCGTCCCGTAGTGTGACCAGGTAGATGACACTAACTGACCAGATAAAAGGGCTGGCCACACAACCATCTCTCTCTTGGACTCTTACTCTACTTTTGGAGTCTCGTGGCTCTTAGCCAGCGCATGGCTCAACCTTCACATAGGTTGGAGCCCATAAGCAGAAAGTCTGAGATGTAGCTCAGACTTCTTTCACTGTAACCACAAGATAAAGCATGCCTTCAGATTACTGCTGTGAACTGAATGTGAGTAAAACTTTCTTCTTACTTTAAAGAAGACTGTGCCATGTTATTATTATTTTAAGAGGGAAATAAAGGGGAAACTTACCAGGAACAATCCAGACTGGACAAGCCAGACTGGATTGCTTAATTAAAGGATTCTAATGAATCATCAACTTGCTTCCAATATGTTGCAAAGGGAATGTGCTCTGTTGTTTACTCACTAGCGTGAGTGAGGAAGGATAGTATCCAAACAATATATCCTCTCCTACCTTCCTTAATGTTCCCACAATCTGCAAACCAAGAGTGTGTCACAGAGGGGAGCGGGGAGACTGCTTGTGCCCACTGCTGCAGCTGTCAGAGGATCTCCACTGTACTGCTGCTCTCTGTTCAGTCGAGCAGTCTAATGACCGCAGTGTGTTGATGTGCTAGTTGTGGCGGGGACAGACTAAAGGGCATGCTCCATCACCTTACCTTTCAATGTATTCAATCAGGTCTTCAGCCTCTTTGCTTTTGCTGGGGTCCATGTTCAAATACGGCTGGAAATGCTGCTGGCAAGTGTATCTGAATAGAGAAAGCCATCCATAGCAAGTTACCATTTTATGCTCTCAGAAAACAGAACCACCAGGAACCACAGGTTTACATCATTTTAGTATTATTAAATGACATGGCTTCTTGTAGTTTGGTGAAAGTGCTGAGAATTCTGTTTAGAGAGCTCTACTCTGCACTGCAGAATTACATTTCCCAGGGTTTCAGGGAGAGGAAGGTCTGGTTAAACTAATTTTGGCCAATAGCGAATGTGCCCAAAGACATCGGCAGCTGTTTTCCAAACACTGTGCAGCATTCAGAAGTGACATAATCTCTGTTCAAAAGGCTTACAGTTTGCCAGTGGGCAGGAAAGACAGGAATGAGAGGTGTGGACTGGATGTAGTAGAGAAGTAAGGGGAGGTCAGCTGGAGATGATGGAACATGAAAGGTGAAGTTAGGATGGTTCAGGAAAGGATTTGCTAGCACATGAGTCAAAGGAAAGAGTGCAGGAAAGGAATCAGCTTGAGCATAAGGTGTAGCCTGTCGGAATTCTCCAGAGATATAAATTTGAAAACTGACAAATAAGGATGCCGGAGCATTCCAATGAAAACAGAAATGAGAGCAGAAGTTGCCCATGTTCTCTTATTTGTCCCATGTGTCCAGAAGCAAAAACAATCCAGTGAATACAATTGGCTGTTTCTTTCAATCTGCACATGATACATAATTTTTTAAAATAATATTTTATTAAGGATTTTCTTGTTTTACAGAAGTAAGTGTAATGCCTCGTATTTTTTTCTCCATGTAACATTTTTACAAACCCGTTTCATTTGTTGAGGCATTAGGGGGAGAAGAAAAAAAGAAAAAGAAAGAAAGAAAGGGGGTGAGGGGAAAGGTGAGGTGGGGGTGGGGTCAGGTGGCAATTTTCTATTTTACTTACTATGTGGGGTTTTGTGTCAGCGTCGCTTGTGTAGGTTCTCTGCTATTTCTTCGGTGGTGAGAGAGGTGTAAGTGTGTTCTTTTGAGTTAACTCCCACTGTTTGCTATGGCCAAAGTGGATCCATATAGGTGATTGTGCGTTGCACCTGATATGTGGTCTTTGGAAACCATGTTCCGTTTTGAAGGATGATGCAGTTAGCCAGCTTAGCCCAGGATTAGAGAGTTTACCATTGGGTGGTTGTCTCCACTTCTCTGTCTGTGATGGAGAGAAGTCCAGAATCAGTGGCAGAAGCTGAAGCAGGAGAGTAGAAGGAGGGAGGCCGAGAAGCGGAGATGAGTTGGGCTGGTGAAGAGTCATGAGTTTCTCCCGCTCCTGCTGCGACAAGCTCCTCATCTCTCAAGGGTTTGTTCCAAGCATTTGGAGACTGTGCCTGCGTACAGCCAAGCCCTCCTCCGCCCTTTTCATGCCTCTTCTGGTTCTGGGATGCAAGGGCGGAATGAAGCTGGTCACAGCAGGAGGGGGAGACGCCTGTGATTAGTGCTGAATTTATGTATAAGCTAAACAAGCTATAGCTTAGGGCCCACTCTCTTGGGAGCCCCCAAAAAATTAAAGGAAAAATAACCTGGATGTACATTTCCAAAATATAAGTTCAACAATTATTTTGATAAAATACATATTTTGTTATGTACAAATGGCTTTAGATACCTATTAGTCCATAAATTACCACATAGCATATATTCAACACAAAAAACAGCAACAATTTGTTGTTGACGAAGGTCAGCTGGACATATAAAGGGCCCCACAACCTTCAGTAACTTAGGGCCTCATCAAACCTAAATCCGGCCCTGCCTGTGGTTCTTCACCAGCCTGACTCATCTCTGCCTCTTGGCCCATCTCTGATTCTGCCTCCGATTCTGCACTGCTCTCTGCCACAGACTCTCCCCGCTCACTAAGCCCTGTTACCTCTTCAGCTTCTGACACCTCCTCTTCCAAGTCTTCTCCCCTGTCCCACCACCATTCCCCGGGCTCTGAGCCTTCTTCCCCTGGGGAATTCCCAGCTGGTTCCATTCACCATCCCTCTGCATCCAACCAGTCCCAGGCATCACCTCCTTCTTTTGGCGGTAGCAGAAACGACATTTCTGCATTGATGTAGTTAGTAGCATTTGAATCTTCCCCTCCAAAGGCGTGACTACTTGTTGTCTCTCTCTCTCCTCTCTGATTTCAGTGTCAAGACATGACTGTCCAAAAATCCCATGTGACATGCCAGGACGAAGGTACGTCGGGCTGCTTTGGCAGCCTCTGTAGGAGACCGTCCTCCATCAGCCTGATGCATTTATTTCATTTTTACCTCAGTAGGCGCTTAGGGTATTGAATATGGTTCTCTCCTCCCCCCTCCCCCCCATTTAGAATATGGTTACCAGACGCCCCGTTTCCCGGGACAGTCCCCAGATTTACAAATCTGTCCCTGGACAAAATCCGTCCCCAGAATGTCCCCGGATTTCATTTAATGTCCCTGGATTTATATTTAAGTGTTGTAGATTTATTAGGAGGGAATGAATGTTGTGCGATTGGTTCAATGGCAGAAGACACATCATATGGGGACTTATGGCGAGGCAAAATGGCGGGCGCCACGGCAGCGAGCAGCTCCTGAAGCCAGCCAGAGCCAACTGCACTACCAGGCTGGCTCCGGGCTGCTGAGACTGCCGCTGCCAAGGGGGAACTGGGGACGCCCGGCATGTCAACTGGGAGAACTGCTGAACCCCCCCGCAACCCAAATCAAGCCGGGAGCAAGAGCGCCCAGCCACCCGGCCAACTGCCCACAGAAGAGAAGATATTACTTCTTTTTTAAAAAACAAAACCTTTTTTAATAACTTTTTTTCCTCTTTTTTTTTTTTAAGTATCCCCGGATTCTTTGAAAAAAATCTAGTAACCTTAATTTAGAAACCAGGTGCCACTGCTGAAAAGGTCCTGTGTCCAGTTACCATCTGCCTGACCAAGCACTCAGTCTAAGCAATTGGGTAGGCTTGGGCACACCACGATCTAGCATTCCTTGCTTTCTCGTATTCTTCCTCCGTTTCTAAATATGTCCCTCTATATTTTTAGCACAAGAAGCAAACATCCGCCCCTTCCAAGTCACCTTCGTAAGTATTCTTACTCATTTAACAGGACCTGAAAAGGCCCCATGAGCCAGACTAAACTCAGGCATAGGCTTCAATATTCTCTCACTGGAACTGATGGGGATTTTAAAGTGTGTAAGTCTGATAGCGTCGTGTCCATGATGCTGGCGTGTTTCTGTGAAACAGGCCACATGAAAAGCCTGTTTTTGTGACCTCTGCACCAGACATTTAAAGCAGTATCACACCACTTTGGGCAGGCATGGCTTCCCCCAAAGAATCCTGGGAATTGTGGTTCGCAAAGGGTGAGGAGGAAAAACTGGTTAAATGATACAGTGGTACCTCGGCTTACATACGCTTCAGGTTACAGACTCTGCTAACCCAGAAATAGTGCTTTTCAGGTTAATAACGTTGCTTCAGGAAACAGAAATCGTGCTCTGGTGGTGCAGCGGCAGCAGGAGGCCCCATTAGCTAAAGTGGTGCTTCAGGTTAAGAACAGTTTCAGGTTAAGAACGGACTTCCAGAACAAATTAAGTACTTAACCTGAGGTACCACTGTATAGAGAAGCCCCAGGAGGAGTGGCTGAAACCAGCATCCACATCACTTGGGGAATGCTACCTCTGGAAGCAAGCAGTGGTTTTCATTGCAAATCAGTAGAGAATATACATCAAAATTGAGGATTATGTTCAGGAATATTCATCATAGACCTTGAATGTTGCCTGAAGCAAATCTGCAGGGGCAATGAGCTTGTGGCTCTCCAAATAATAATAATAATAATTTCCCCAGCCACACTAGGCGGCTCCCAACAGAATATCAAAAATAGAATCAAACATTTAAAAACTTTCCTAAATAGGGCTGATGTTGCTAGACCGTAATTCCCACCATCCCTGAATATTGGGCAAGATGCCTGATGGGAGATGGAGTTGGTTAGAACATGGTGCCAATAACCCCAAGGTTGCAGGTTTGATCCCCAGAAGAGACAGCTACATATTCCTGCCTCGGCCAAGGCACAGTCTGACCCCCTCTCTCCTTCTGTAATCTTCATAGAACCCCATGGTTGCCATTAATTTGATTCTGAATTGATTATAGAATGTATTTTAATTAATTGACTGTGCGGTTTTATGTACACTCTGCTATTTTTACCTGTTGTTAGCCGCTCCGAGCCCGGCTTTGCCCAGGGAGGGCGGGATACAAATAATAATAATTATGATGATGATGATGATTACAGGGTGCTGGACTAGATTTTCCACTGGGTCCTTTCCGATTCTATGATCCTAACATCTGGAGGGCCACAGGTTTCCCAGGCCTGTACTGGGGAGACCTCACAGAGCAGCCTCTGAAGAGAGCGACCCGTGGCTGGCAGATATTTCTGGGGTCAGAGAGGGAACACTTCCCTCCCCAACTCGTTCTCCACGATACCCTCAGGAGGGTGGCGGCGTTGTAGCCTTTCGAATTTAGCTTGTTGGGGAAGTGATGGGGAACAAAACTCTTTTTTGATTTCTCATTATAGATTTGTAGAGTTGGAAGGGACCCTGAGAGTCATCTAATCCAGTGTTTCCCAACCTTTTTTGTGCAAAGGCACACTTGTTTGATGAAAAAAATCTCGAGGCACACCACCATTACAGCCCCGTGACGTCAGCGCGCAGCGTCACGCCGGGAGGGACGCACGAAAGTGTAACTTTCAATTTTTTTCCCTCCCCCTTGCCGGGGAACCTCCAAGCTTTGGGGGTGGGGGTGGGGAGGAGGCAGCAAAGCGAGGGACTGAGGGACTCCTCCAACGACAAGGGTTGGGGAAGAAAGAGAAAGGGCTATTCCCCTCCAGTCACGGGAGGGGAATATGTACTGGCCCAACTGGTGTGTGGTCTTCGGAAAGCGGGGTGCGGGAAGGAAGCCTAGGCTCGGGTCCACCGACCTCGGCGGAGAAAGGCAAACAACCGGAGCCGATGACGAGCCGGCGCGTGCGTGCCGCGGCTGGCCTTGAGCTCGGGAAGCTGCGCGCGCGATGTTGACGCGGGGCGCGCGAGAGCTTGGGGGCGGGGCGGGAGAGAGAGAGAAAGAGTTGGCAAGCACCAGGGCGCTGTTACTTATTGCGCTGCGGACGCTGCCAGCAACTGCGGTGGTTGTGCAGGGGCCGCCGCCGGCAGAACGTCCTCGTCAGTCAGCTGAGCTGCCTGGCGGCGTAGAGAGCCGAGGGGCGGGGCTTCCTTTCTGAAGGAGCTGAGGGTGGGGGTCCTCCGGCGCCTTCGCGAAACGGCGCCAGCCCAGAGCGCTTCTAGGAGGCTGCCTTTGTGCGCGACGTAAAGCCCTCTTTCCCTTCCCTCCAGCCCTCGTGTCACATGTGGAAAAGGGGCTGGATCCAGTTGACGCAACTCGGAAAACTGTTAGGGAAGCCAGAGCAGGAAAGTGAGTTGGGAGGCGGCGTCGCCGCTTTTAACCCACGTTTTCCTTTTGAAAGAGAAACCAGTGTTCCCAACCTTTTTTGACTCGCTCGCAGCACACCAGGCAACATCTCGCGGCACACTAGTGTGCCGCGGAACACCGGTTGGAAACACTGATCTAATCCAACCCTCTTCAATGCAGGAATGTCAACACACCAATAATGCCCCTCTAATTTGAAAACCATCCCTGCCCCTGCTTATTGCTTTGCAAATGTCAAGCAGTTTTTAGTGCTTGACAACTCCACTCAAACTCGAAATCACTCAACAGCCTGTTGGTCCAGATTTTTTTTAAAAAAGGTCTGGGAGGAAGAAAGAACCCACAGATCTCACTGACTTTGGGATTAATGTTCAGAATTGAATAGAACCATTCTTCAGATTTTGCACTTTCCATATTTTGCCTTTCTTTCTTTTCTTTTAGTACTGAAGTACCCAAGTGGATCTCAAAGGATAAACAAAATGTTGACAAATGCACGCATTCACATAAAATACATTTGTCAGTACATTGTGCCAGAATAATGTGTGTTTAAATAGTATTCATATCATGTAGATTTAAAATAAATGTTGAAATGGGGCAAGATGGAATTATGAATGAACACGTGCCAAAACACAGGCAGAAACAGGCAGGTACTTCATCACACCCAGTCATGGTTTTTCTTTTCAGAAGCCTGCCCTGAGCCCAGGTATCAAAATATTGAAAAAGGTAAGTGCGCTACTTCAGCATATCGAAGGTAAAGGAAACGGATGATGTGATTTGAGCACTGACTGGTGCTGGGTGAATTTCAGAGAGCTAGAGGGGATCCAGCCCCCTTTGGCCACTGTTTCCAAGAGACTACAAGAGGCCAGGATTGTCCAAAACTGGGGTGTGTACAATCAGAAGATGGAATACCCATGAAGGGAATCCCTTTCCCCATAAATGGAGCCTTGCTGTTTCATGAGTCAACAGTACCATACCTGTCGAATGTCCCTATTTCCCCTGAACATGCACAGAATTACAGAAGCTATCCCAGCTTCTGATTTCATCGAGAGTGTCCCGTTTCCCCCTTCCAGCGCCGCTGCCACTGAACATGGGAGGAGAATGAGCCACGATCATCCTGAAGCAGAATCCTTCTGCGCAAGAGAAGCATGGCCCCAACTCTCTCACCGCCCTGCCCTGTCCCCTCTCCCTTGCCAAGAGCAAAGCCATCTTGTTTCCTCACCCTGGGTGCAAGGGCTCGTTGGATTAACTCATCTCTCCATTCTCTGCCATAAACTTTGGTCCCAGCACCACTGGGATTTGGAGGGGAAACCTCAGCACAGTCTTCTGAATTTTATCTTGATGATGTGCATGGCCTTTGAACTAACGGTCACTCAATTGTACTTTCAGTGCTGCAGATGGAGCAAGATCCTGCATATGTGTAAGTCCAGGATTGCAGTAGGCTTTGGGGGCAGGAGGGTGTGTGTGTTTTGCTTATTTTGAACTCTCCTGATCTCCTAGGTACAGCGGACTCTGTTTTCCCCCCTACATGGGCCACGTGAAATCTTGGCCATAGCCAATACCCTCTTATAATAAATTCCACAAATGCCTCTGCGCTTGACATAGCTCAGTTGGTGATGATGATGATAATGATGATGATAATAATAATAATATAATAATAATATTTTTTATTTATACCCTGCCCTTCCCGGTTCAAAAACCGGGCTCAGGGCGGCTAACAACAAATTAATAGAATCATAGAGTTGGAAGAGACCACAAGGGCCATCGAGTCCAACCCCCTGCCAAGCAGGAAACTAAAAGCAGCATAAAATACAGTATAAAAACACGAATACCAATAAAAATCAAAAATCAATTAGATAATCCCCAGGGCTAGCTGGCTGAATTGGTCCTACTTGGGCCAGAGAGGAGGCCAGGGAAGAATTAGCCGTGGGGTCTCAGAGCGGGTGATCTTCATAAAAGGGGAGGGGAGGGAAGAGAAGGGAAATAAAAGATCAGGCTGAATTCAAATTAAAGGTTAGAGCATGGCACTGATAATGCGAAGGTTGCTCCCCTATGGGGCAGCTGCATATACTTGCATTGCATGGGGTTGGACTGGATGATCCTCAGGTACCCCTTCCAACTCTTCCACATCTATGATTCTATGGTTCACAGTCTAAATTCAGTAGTACCATAAGGGTACACAATGAAAAGTATAATGTCACTGCAGCGTAACGTTTAAAAAACAAATTGACCCAAATTAGCAGTTCCTTTAATGTACATCAATATAGAAGGGAGCATAAAGCTCTGGTAAAAAATATCCAGTAGCTTCACACCCCAAACTAGCCCCTAAATTGCCCTACATGCATATTCATCAAATTGCTCCTACAATCTTTTTGTGCCCCCCATGAGGTCTTCTGGAAGCGGCTTCCTTCGGAAGGCTTCTAGGGTTAGATGGAAAGAGTGGTCCATCAAAAAACGTATTTCTTTGGCCCAGAGAGTCTCAAATCGCTTGGCGTTGTCACTGGGGTGGAAAGCATTTCAGCTATGGCCTCTTCCAATGCCTCCCGCCTCTCACAACACCGCCATCTTGGATGGCTTTTACAAGAGGAATAGACAAATTCATGGAGATGAAGGTTACAAATGGCTGCTAGCCAGGATTGTTCTGTTCTGCCTCCACAGTTGGAGGCACTATTGCTTCTGAATACCAGCAGCTGGAAACTGCAGGAGAGGAGAGGACTCTTGGGCAACTGGTTGGCCACTGTGAGAACAGGATGCTGGCCTCTTCTTACGTTCTTCTTAGCACTTCACCTCAGAAAACAGGCACAATAATGCAGGAGTGTAGGCCATCTTTACTGGTCTCACATGCCCCCGAGTTTCAACTGGCCTGTACCAGGGACCAAGCCTTTAGTATGTCAGGACAGTGCCCTGTGGAACTCCTGGCCAATAGACGTTCACCAGGAGCCACCCTTGCTCGCTTTTCTAAAAACTGTATTATTCTGACAGGCCTTTCGGGCCTAAGATTATTTCCCAACCGGCTCTTGCAGGTGTGCCTGACGGCTTTATTGTAATACTGTGTTTTTAGTCTTTTTGTGGCATTTCATATGGAGGTGCCAGTGATAAATAAATGTTGGAGCTGCGTAGCAAATGCTTCCTGGGCAAGTCACAGTGCCTTTTCGGTAGCCAAAATATTGAGCTTTGGGTGGAAATCCTTCTCTCTGACTCCATAAGGATTTCCTGCCCCCCTCCCTCTTCTTCCCTCTTCTAGCAAACCAATCGCTGCAGATATTTATTACAACTGTGGGAATTTCGTAAGGCAATCCAGTGGTAAGTGGACGAGACAAGAATACATAGATGAAGGGTGTACAGTTTGGATGTGTGGAGGGTCCTGGAGATACCGTCCTCAGCGCACCCAGGGGCTGGGTCGGGGACACACGACCACATCCCTCCTCCTATATGCATTCAGCCAAGCACCTAATCGATACTAGGCTTCTTTTTTATGCTATGTTGATTCTCAAATATTTCCTCTTTCAGATGAAGATGCCTACTCTTATCAAAACGTGGCTGGCCCATCGAGAAGCAGTGGGCTTGGTAAATTCTATTTACTAGGGTGTTTATCTCTCCACTTTCAAAACACCAGGCATAATTTCATCAGCCCAGCCTTGTTAATAAGGATTATGATTTGTTGTCCTAAATGGGGTAACTGTGCCCCCGAAGGACCAGGTGCGCAGCCTGGGAGTCATTTTGGACTCACAGCTGTCCACGGAGGCGCAGGTTAATTCTGTGTCCAGGGCAGCTGTTTACCAACTCCATCTGGTACGCAGGCTGAGACCCTACCTGCCCACGGACTGTCTCGCCAGAGTGGTGCATGCTCTAGTTATCTCCCGCTTGGACTACTGCAATGCACTCTACGTGGGGCTACCTTTGAAGGTGACCCGGAAACTACAACTAATCCAGAATTTGGCAGCTAGACTGGTGACTGGGAGCGGCCGCCAAGACCATATAACACTGGTCTTGAAAGACCTACATTGGCTCCCAGTACGTTTCCGAGCACAATTCAAAGTGTTGGTGCTGACCTTTAAAGCCCTAAACGGCCTCGGCCCCAGTATACCTGAAGGAGCGTCTCCATCCCCATTGTTCTGCCTGGATGCCGAGGGCCTTCTGGCGGTTCCCTCACAAGCGAACCACATGACCTTGCCCACCAGCACACACTCCATTCTCCTTCCTCTCCCAGTTTTACACATGTACCCCTGTAATAACCAGCTAGCACTGGATAGTTTGTGGTGGGGAATGTGGGCCACTGAGCATGCTCAGGCTCGTTGGGCTGCTCTTTGGGTTTCCATGGGGTCGAGTCTGCTGAGACATCCCTCCAGAATGTGAGTGGTGCCATTTTGGCTACATAAGGAATGGCACTCAGAGCCATTAAATACAGAGGAGTCTATGATGGGGTTGAGAGAAAAGAAGTTTGGAAGTAAGCCTGCGAACAAACAATGCAATTGTTTCAATGCAATTGTTTCAGAGCAGCCATTGCTTCTTTCCCCCAGAATCCTAGTTGCCTAACCGGTTACCTATAGGACCTGGATGAGATTTGCTCATCCGGCAATCTTCATCTTGTTTGACATTTTAAGTCCTTGCAGTTGTTTGTTTGTTTCTTTGCTCATTTCTTTTTACAATTGTAAGTTGCTTCGAGACATTTTATGTAGTAATAATAATAATCAAATAATTTCAGCTGCCTCCCCTGACTGGATTCTTTTTCCTTTCTGTAGTCTTGGCAGATGTGGATGTCTATGAAAACAGCACAACGATCCAGATATGGAAGCACTCGCAGATCGCAGGTGAACTATGGGCTGCAAATTCTCTTAGAAATCATCTACAATCTCAATTCTTTGAATATATGATGCATGTCATGTGTGACTTGGCTAACTTTCTTGAGCTATCTGCTCTGCACATAAAGCATTTTCCTGCTTTCTAGCTGTGGAACAGATTGCATTGATGTACCAGCCCGTAACAGTAAGCCCTGATAGCAAAAGCCAGATTTTTGTTTTTCCCCTTCTGAAAGATGAACTAAATTTGCATCTGTGCATTTAAATTAGTACATGCAAATTTTAGGCAAATTTGTCCCTGTGCCCTGAGTCCTTGGCGATGCCCCTTCCCTCTTCCTTCCACACAAGTGCAAGGAGTTCAGAAGCTTCCACTTTGGGCTAACCATGGTTTTATGTTGTCTAGACCCAACCATGGTTAGCATTTATTGTTTGTTTCAAACAAGCCAAAGCTGGCTCATTTAAACCACTTTTGTTAGTGTTAGCCTTCATTTCGGGTCTGGGCAACATGGCAAGTTGGGGTTAACTAAAAGTTTATGAATTCCTTTTCATTGCTGTATGGCTTGTTTGCATTGTACTGAACTACGGTTTAGCTTGATGGTTGAAGTCAGCTATTGCATCTATAGGACTCAAATGTCTGGGAAGTTTTCCTAGGATGAACACGATAAACTTCAGCAGAATGAAGTTGTGGTAGATCACGCCCCTAGCTAATTAGTGCATGATTGGGAGGGAGACATGCGGATATTTTCACATCAAAAATGTCTTGGACCAACCCTGGAATGTTTTTCTCAAACCAGAAGACTCTGACGACGATGAATCAGATTACATCAATTCACATCCAAACTGCAGGTAATTTATATATGTGTGTGTCTGCCTTTTTCTCCCTGCCTCTGGCAGATGAGTGTAAAGCAAGCTTCCACAAGCTGCTCCCCTCCAGATGTTTTAAACTATGGCTTTCATCAGCCCCAGCCAGCACATGTGGTCTCAGGCTAGTGGGAGTTGTGGTCCAAAACATATGGAGAGGAAGTTTACACGCAGTCATTGTCTGCTTGAGAACTTTCGATGGCTTCTCCCTCAGCTCAGGTTGTTCAATGGTTCAGTGTTAAGAGCATGTGGTTATACCCCTAAGGTCCCAGATGGCAAAACCTGCCTAATATAGAGTGTGGCAAGGGGACTCCTTGCAGTTAGAAATCTAGCAAGCCCTATCCTTTGCCTGCTGTGCTGATTTTTTAGTTGCAGGGAGGGTTTTTGTTGTTGTTGTTAGTGTGAGCATTTTTAAAAAATGCTATCCATGCCCTACAGTCTGGAGTGGTCCAGTTTTTTCTGTCACCTCATACCTCTTGCATGAGTGAACTGGACTGCTGTCAGCAAGATTAGGAATAATAATAATAATAATAATAATAATAATAATAATTCATTTATACCCCACCCATCTGGCTGGGTTTCCCCAGCCACTCTGGGCGGCTCCCAATCGAATATTAAAAACACAACACAGCATTAAACATTAAAACTTCCCTAAACCTTCAGATGTCTTCTAAAAGTCAGGTAGTGGTTTATTTACTTGCCATCTGATGGGAGGGAGTTGCACAGGGCGGGCGCCACTACCGAGAAGGCACTCTGTCTGGTTCCCTATAACCTTACTTCTCACAGGGAGGGAATTGCCAGAAGGCCCCTGGAGTTGGATCTCAGTGTCCGGGCTGAATGATGGGGGTGGAGACGCTCCTTCAGGTATACAGGACCGAGGAAAGACCTTCAGCTCAGATGTCAGGAGAGCTATATAGGAAGCTGCCTAGTGGGCTGACTAGCTCCATAGACTCCCCTGGCTAGCAGCAGTTCAGGGTTTCTCCCACCTGGAGATGCCACTGGGAACTGAACCTGGGACCTTTAGCATCAAAAGCAGCTGCTTTACCACTGAGCCAGGGCTCTTCCCCTTTCTGTTCTGCTGTCAGAGTAGACCACAGGTTGGCAATCTGCAGCTGCTACTGGCCCTCCATCTCCTTTGATGCCTCCCCTATGTTCCACAAAAGAAAATGGAAGAAAATGGTGATGGTTGAATAAGGGAGAGAAAAGGGGTGTTCCACTCACTTTTCTTCTTTGATTCACCGCCATTGGTTGGTGGCCCCTGACCACTTTCCTCCAAGTGAATGAGGCCTTCAGCTCTGAAAAGGTTGCCCAACCCTGTGTAAACAAGACTAGGCTGGAGTGACTTGAGCTTCTCGCATCCTTCTTCTCAAACTTTTTTTGAGCTCTGAGCCAATCCTTTAGTCCCCCGTTTTGGGGTGAGGAGACCCAAAAGGGAGAAAAGAAATGGGAAAAGCCTCAAACCTAGGAAAACCTGGGGATGCCCCATACAACCGGCCAAATCCAGATGCATAGAACTTGGAAGGGATGGAGATGATAACATGTCAGGCAAGAGCTCAGGATTGCAGTTGTTTGCAAGCCAGAGCATGTGGCGGTGAGGAAGGCTAATGCCGTTTTTGAGTTCCTAGAGCCATGGTTTCCAAGTCAGAATAGGTAGTAATTTACTGCAATAGAAGAAGAGTTTGGATTTGATATCCTGCCTTTCACTCCCTTTAAGGAGTCTCAAAGCGGCTAACATCTCCTTTCCCTTCCTCCCCCACAACAAACACTCTGTGAGGTGAGTGGGGCTGAGAGACTTCAGAGAAGTGTGACTGGCCCAAGGTCACCCAGCAGCTGCAGGTGGAGGAGCGGGGACAAGAACCCGGTTCCCCACTCTTAACCACTACACCTCTTCTGGAGCACTGTGTCCTGTTTGGGGGCCCATACTTTTGAGAGTACAGATCAATTACAACAGGTTCAGGACAGGGCAATGGAGGGAAAGGTCTGACCAGGAAAGGTTGGAGGAATTGCCTGAAGAAGAATACTGAGGCGAAGATGATTGCAAAGTTGCAATCGGTGAAGGTTGGTCTCTGCTGCTGCCCTGTAGGGCAGGACTAGATTTACTTTAAGTTGCCCGCAGGAAGAATGAGTGGGGTGGGTCTCTTGCAACAGAAGCAGCATCTTGACTGCAATAAAAGTTCAACAATGGGACAAAATGACCCAAAAGGGATGGAGGATCTCTTGGTTATTGGATGTCTTGAAGTACATGCTGGATGGCCATCTATTTGGGATGCATCAAATGGGGGATTCGACTTACAAGATCCCTAAAACTCACCGAGGTTGTAAAGAGTCCTCTTATCTATCCACCCTCTTCCCTTTAGGTTTCCTGCCTAAGAGCTGGCGAAGAGAGCTTCGGCAGTCATTCATTCTTACAGTCCAGGGAACCTGGCCACTTGCAAGCTGGTTCCTGCCTTGCAGTTCAACTTCAAGCAAATTCAGCGATGAGCACCTCACCAAGGCAGGCCACTCTCCAAAAAGAGTCCACTGGAAAGTGCATGCGTGTGTTAAGGGGGAGAGAGAATGTTCATAAAGGAAGTATGAGCAAATGGCAATCTACCATTTCGTTTTCTTGCTTTATTTGTTCTGTCTGTTAGCCAGAGCAAAGTCTATTGTATTCTAAGCAGTTTAGAAATAAAAGAAGCAAGCGACCCTGTGTATAATTCACAACAAGAGATTTAACCGTTCTGCTGGGGTGGGGAATGTGTCCCAACAACATCTGGGAAGTTGAGGTTATTCCCAGAGCAGTGCTGTTTACGGTGTAATTCTGAAAGCCCCCCAGAATGGGGGAGCCTTATGTGGGCACTGCAATGGTTGAATAATTGGGAGCGAAATTATTGCCCTTCTGCCTTGCAACAGATCCCAATACATCTTTATTCCCTCGGCCAATACAAGGCATGGACAACCATTAGCTACTGATTGGTGAAAATACGGTTTCGGTGCCCTAGTTCTTCAAGTGGGGATAAAAAATAATTCTTCTGAGTGTTGTATCTGCACAGACTGGTAGCACAGTTCTGTAGTTCGCCCCATGAAAACATCCTTCGCTTTCCTCCGGTGAGTTAATTGTAGCTGCGTTTGTTTTAGCTTGCAAATGCAAGTTCAACATTTATTGTTTAGCAGAAGAACGAGTGGGTGGCTCTCTTGTGAAAGAAAGAGAGAGACTTCAGCTTAGTGTGGTCTATATCTTTCCGA